TAGAAGAAACAAAGTTGTTGATCATCTGGAAAACCATGTCGAGGGCACCTTCGCAACAACTCTCTAAATCGATCCCACGCCTCGTATAACGGCTCCGAGTCTTGCTGCTTTAATTGAGTAATCTCGCTTTTCAGTTGCATCGACTTGCTTGGAGGAAAATATTTAAGCAAGAACTTCTGGTTCAACTCCTCCCAAGTCTTAATGCTCCCATCAGAAATCATCGACAACCAACTCCGAGCTTTATCCCTTAGAGAGAAGGGAAATAGACGCAGCCGTATAGCATCCTCGGAGACACCATTGTACTTGACCAAATCGCAAATTTGCAGAAACTGGGTCAAGTGTTGATTCGGATCCTCGGTCGGGTGTCCGCCAAACTGGTTGTTTTGTACCATCGAGATATAAGAAGGCTTCAACTCGAAATTATTCGCATTGATGGGTATATGCGCAATCCCGCCAAAATTCTTGTTAAATTCAGGCCGAAAGTGGTCACGAATTGCTTGCCTCTGTTGTTCTTGCTCTGCCATTATGCACTTTGACTTGCCCTTTCTTTTTCTAGTTGTTGCACTAGTGCGTCTAGCGAATGCTTCAACTTCGTCAATCAAGGGTTGTAGTGGTGCACTTTTAGAGCGAGTTAACATGCACGTCCTGAAATCAAGAATAAGAAAGGTTATGTCAAAAATAAATAAAAATATCTAAATTAAAATTTCCACTACCTATCCTAATATTGATATAACTAATTAAATTGGTCCCCGGCAACGGCGCCAAAAACTTGTTCGCCTGTATTTTTAAAGCTCGACCGCAAGTGTACGGCTTCGCTCGTAGTATGTGGCAAGCAAGGTCGTATCCCAAGAGACCAAACAACCAATTAATCAAGTACTAGGTTATGATAGTGCCAATTTTATCTAGACAACCGAATATAAGAGTGATTAACTAAACAAAGAAAATAATTCAAAAGATAAGAAATCGATAACAAGAAAACAACTAGAAAAACACTTAGGAAGAATATAAGGGAATGGTAGATTCTAAGACTATGGGTTCAATTAACAGCTGGGTTCCTTCAGATATATCACAATTAAGTATTTTCTTTATCTACCCTATAAGATGATCACGAAATTAGCCTATCGTCCCTCTCGAGATCGATAAAACCGTAGATTAAATCACATATATTATCGTCTCCACTCAACACATGCAATTCAACTCCAAAAAGATTAAAAGACCCAAAATCCTCACAACTATCTACTAATCTCTCGATTCAAGTAAAAAAATTGTGTCAAGTATTAAAGACCTAATATTGAACTCATCTCTCGAATTATGAACAATATTGTCAAACATGTAAAAGAATTGATCAAGTTCTAAACATGGAATAAGAACAAAATACTTGAATAGGGTTCAAAAGAAAAACAATCAACTATAAATAAATCATCCAAAATACCAACATATTAATCTACTACCAAGTCTTAGAATCAAAGAAATCTAGCTACTCCTGTTCGAATTCAAATACATAGACATATTAAAAATCAACATAAGAAAACAAGTTCAAAAGATAGAAAGAAAAACTAGTAAGCTTGTCGTCGATCTTCTCTTCTTCCCAATTGCTTCTCTTGCGTGTTCTCTGGCTCCCTTCCTTGCGTAACCACGTTCTAGGGCTCAAGATCAGGTAAATAGGTCTTTTTATATGTCCAAAAGTCCTCTTGATGTAGGAAAAGCGTACGAGTGGGACGATATTAATGAGATCTCAATCTCAAGAACATCTAAACACGATATAATTCATATTTTCATTCATAAACAACCAAGGAAAATAAACTAGAGGTAGTCCTTTATATAAGGCCCCTAACCCTAAACATTAACTTGTCCACCAAGTCATTAAATAATAATAATAATAATAATAATAATAATAATAATAATAATAATAATAATAATAATAATAATAATAATAATGATAATAATAATCCTAATCTACACCATTCTCCCCCGGTTTGGAAGGCTTCGCCCTCGAAGCCGATGCGCACCCGTGCCCGCGTATGGTGTTGAACCTATGGTAGTAACTCCCGTCGTTTCCCTCGGTCGAATACAAAGGTTGAATGCCTCACTCTCATGGTATCACCCCCTTGAAAGTCATGGAAAGACATATATGCAGCAGCCACACACATAATTTTGAAGTCACCGTGGGAACCAAAACGCAACATCTGTTTGCAAGATCGCAACAAATTCACGTAGGAGAAAAGCTCGGGCTTGCGCAATAGAATAACTACCAATCGAACACCAAATTCTTCCAACAGCTGAATTTTGATGCCCGAAACATGATTCAATTCCTCCGGGCCCGAAGGCTCCTTATCGAAAATCGGCGGACAGTCGTAGAGACTGTCCACTTCACCGGTAAGACACTCCTTTACCTCCTCGGGTTCCTCATCAAACACCGGTGGACCATCGTACAATGGCCCGTCAACTTGCTCTTCGTCAAATTCTGGGATGTCAACGCGAAACGGGCCCTCCCATTGACCATATTCGCGATTAAGTCCCCAATCGTGTCGGACACGATATCCGCCAACGAAGGCTGCCTCCTCGCGCCAGCCCCGATCGCTGTGTTGATCGTCGCCGTCCATGAAGACCAGGCCCCGTCGCCACATGTCACGGCCGCTGTATGCAGCGAAGGGGTCAACCTCGACGTGCGTAGGTTGCCACTCGCCGAAGGGATTCACCTCCGAGATGGTATTCTCGCCGTCTTCATCGCCGGACGGTGGTTGTGGAGATCTCCGACGGGGCGCCCCGCCTAGACCACGGCCTCCACGTCCTCCGTGAACTCCCCCGCGAATGCCCCGGTCGCCGGCATCACGGTTCGTCTGCAAATCCTCAACCATGTTGTTGATCGTAAGACGCACTTCTTCGATCCCCGTCGAAAGATCCTCAACTCGACGTTCCAATTGATTGATCTGGCGGCCGAAACCCGTGGCTCGTCGACCCAGATACTCAATGGTGGCGTCACGCCCGTCGATGTCGTCCTTCCACGGCGGCATCTTGAATCGTGCTGACTTAAAAGTCCTCTTGATGTAGGAAAAGCGTACGAGTGGGACGATATTAATGAGATCTCAATCTCAAGAACATCTAAACACGATATAATTCATATTTTCATTCATAAACAACCAAGGAAAATAAACTAGAGGTAGTCCTTTATATAAGGCCCCTAACCCTAAACATTAACTTGTCCACCAAGTCATTAAATAATAATAATAATAATAATAATAATAATAATAATAATAATAATAATAATAATAATAATAATAATAATAATAATAATAATAATAATAATAATAATAATAATAATAATACTATCCTACACCACCTCTCCTAAGCGAAAAAGGTAAGCGATAAAAAAAGTCCGCGTCGCAACACGACCTGACACGCCCGTGTCACAGGTCGTGTCACGAGTCGTGTCAGGTATAAGGCCTCCTTTGCTGTCTGTTGAGGTGACACGGGCACAGACACGGCCTGGCAGCCCGTGTCACCACCCGTGTCAGGTACCAAGTCCTCCATTTTTGGCCCGTTTCTCTCGTTTCTTCCATTCCTTTCATCCGTGCATCGATCTATCGTCATCCCGGGGGTTTTAAGCACTCACCATGCTCCTCCAATAGCCAAAGCTCTACAAATATGTGGAAATATCTACAAAACGAGCACGTGTAATACCTTTCCAACAAATATAGAATTTAAAGCACAAATATGCAATTTATACACCACAAATGTACCAATCAAGCTCTAAATACTATATGAATGTAGTGTAAAATCACACATGAACAGAGCGCAAGAAATAGAACAACTCCTTGGAAGAGAGAGAGAGGGGGCGGACGTGTTTGCTAGGTTATGGGATTGTATGTCCTCTTCCAAGAGCCTAATGCTGTATATGTAGAGCTACAGTAGGGACCCTAAGGAGAATAGGATAAGGGCTTCTAATATATTAATACTGTGGAGCAACCCCACAATTAATATATTAATAATATTAAAGTCCACCACAATAATATTATTGCACTCCCCTCATGTTAGAGGTATGCTGTAAAAGCTGTGTTTTGCAGTTTCTATCAATTCCATTTTGA